CACTTTTCTTTGGCTTAATCCCTGGTTTATCAGTGGTCTCTACAGCAGAATGAATGTCAATAATCTGCCATATGTTTTGTGGCAAATGCTCTTCCAGGCTCAACCCAGCACTGAGAGTACCCTATCTTGTGAACCCCCAGTGCCGGGAAACACCCATACACTCTCATTCACACAAACACTAATACACTATGACCAATTTAGTTTGTTTAATTCGCCTATAGCACATGTCTTTGGACTGTGGGGGGAAGCTGGAGCACTCGGATGAAATCTATGTAAACACAGAGAAAATGCAGATATATCAAATATTATTATTATAATTCATTCATTAATTTTCTTTTCGGCTTACTCCCTTTATTAATCCAGGGTCGCCAATGAACCGCCAATTTATCCAGCGCGTTTTTATGCAGCGAATGCCCTTCCAGTCGCAACCCATCGCTGGGAAAAATACACACACACTCATTCACACACTCATACACCATGGACAATTTAGCCTACCCAATTCACCTGTACCACTTGTCTTTGGACTGTGGGGGAAACCGGAGCACCTGGAGGAAACCGACGCGAACGTAGAGTGAACCTGGAAAACTACACACAGAAACGCCAACTGAGCCAAGGCTCGAACCAGCGACCTTCTTGCTGTGAGGCGACAGCATTAAGTACTGCCCCACTGTGTCGCCTATTATTATTATTATTATTATTATTATTATTATTATGGCATATATTTTGCATGTTATTTGTCAGATAGATAGATAGATAGATAGATAGATAGATAGATAGATAGATAGATAGATAGATAGATAGATAGATAGATAGATAGATATTTGTAAAAAAAGAGCAAACTTCTTGAAGTAAAGATAAATTGTTCAATTTATTAAAAAACAACAATAAAGCAGTAATAAAGCAGTAATAAAATAGCAACTTTGACAGGGTGTAAACATTAGCACCATTGTACAAAAAGTCTGTTCTGGCAATAAATTAAGAAGTCCGGTTTATGTGATCTTCCACTGATTTCATTCATCACTCATCCAGTGTTGTCCTCCCGTTCTCAAGTCAATGTGTTTTGGCTTATTAGAGTAACCACAAAGCAGCACTGTCAGTCCTGTGCAGATCCTCTGTGTGTGACTGTAACTGCGTCTGTGCAAATAACCAGTCCAGGGGGTCTTTAATGCCACAGTGTACCTGACTGCTGAACCTTAGAGTGGCTTCATCCAGACCAAGGGAAGCACGGCGGGGCTGCAGAGCCCGAGAAGCACTGCGTGGCATTGTGCTTGAACCCGCATGCTTTCCTGCCGATTTACGCCTTCTGGATATCCTCAAAGGGCCACAAGCAGGCTGTGCCAGTTCTTTATAAGAGTTTATATATTCCTCTAGTGACTGTGAGACATCCTCATGCGACTCTGTTATTGTCGGTAGAGGAGCCACAGACAAGAGTAATCTTCTGGGTTGCATCCTGCAGAAAGATGAGCAACATTTAGTCATCATCTAATACTTATTAACTTATCATAACTTATAAATGATCATAAATGTATTAGAGAATCAAGGCATTTTAGATTAAAAAAGAAGTCATTCAGTAAGTTAATTTACCTGTAGGACAAGCTTGCAGTGATTGTTGTGCAGAGGTTGTGTCAGAGTTTGGTTTGATCTGGTTTAGAGGCAGCTCACCTCCTTTTATACGCCACGGCAGTATAAGCTCCTGCTCATGGATCTAAAATTAGCTAAGCCCTGACCTTGCATGCCTGACAGGAAGTGTGTGTGTGCTGTTCGGAGAGTAGAGAGGAAGCTGCCCAATGAGACCCCGCCGCAGCTGCCTTGAATGTTTACATTGCTGTAACAATGAGGCCCTGGGAGCACTCGGCCCTCCACCTACATGACACTTGACAACACTCACTCAATATTACAACAGCTGCCAATGCCATTACATGCTTGTATTTTGGTCATAGGTATTTTGTTGGAGAGCAGGTCCTCAGAGATCCATCAGGGAAAAGTCTGGTGGACTGCATCTTTGACCTCGTGTCTCGCTTTATTGTGAGTGTGTTGAATGATTGCTTAGATAAAAAATCACAAGAATCTTTGCTTGAGTTTGAACTGAACAGTTACATAAAAACTAATTTTCTGTAAGGACTGAAATGAGATGCTGGCTCAAGTTGGAACATCTATAATCATGTAAATCTCTGACCATACTGTGGTTTTGTGTTTTGTTGAATTTAAGTGTCACCTCAGGTTTTGCAACTGTAATGATATGAATTACATTGTGTGTCAATTATGTTTTCTCTCTTCAGCTAAAATAACCAAGAAAATTGGTCATTAAATTAGGTTAAGAGCACATGCATACTAGGTTGACATAGTGTTAAAGCATCTGCTAGAACCAGCTATTTTTAGCAGCCATCTTGAATCAAGTGGTATAATCTCTGTGGTATATTTAGCTTTGTCAGATGCAGTACTCACTCAGGCAATATTGTTCTAGCCTGTAAACGGAAGAGACTTATCTACTTTGTTGACTTAGGGCTAATAGGATAGTGGCACGTTTCTCCCTGAAGAAATGTGCATGCAGTCTATCCATCCATCCATCCATTAAATTTTAATATAGGGCAAAAAAATGCCTTTTTTGCTGTACATTTTATTTAAGTAGCTTCTTTATGAAGATAATTGTTTTTTTAATGTTCTAAACTTAAAAAATATATATACATTTTCCACGAATTAAATGGTTTATGCTATAATGCACAGCTATAATGTGTTCAGAGCAGAAATTTCTAATATACTGAAAGGTATAATAAATATTCTGATGAGTGTTTTGAGCTGAAACTTTACAGACTCATTCTGGAGACACAAAAGACTTATCTTAAATCTTGAAAAAGAGGTAAAATAGGTGCCCTTTTAGTAAGTTTTCTGGCAATTGTGCTAAAAGTGTTTTTGTCTAGAATTTGCACAAGAATTTGCACCTAGTTTGCTGATCAAATCTTTTAAGTTAATTCTGACTGAATCTGTCAAACTCTTCACAGCTTTTAAATATTGTAATATTATAAAAATCATCACATAAGATATGATATATTTGTTATATTGTTAAGATTAAACTGGCGGATGGGAGACAAAAGTTACAAAGAAGCCTATAATGAAGGTAAAGTGTGATTTATTTGGCACAAAGTAAAAATAAAAATCCAGCAAAAACGTGAAAGTGACAAAATAATAATGAAGAAAAATATTTACTACTCCTTCAACTCCCCTACAACTAACAAAATATAAATTAATGGTAGTAAATAGGTATGCATACAAAAATCTAAATACAACACCATAAACAACCAATATAAACATATTGGTTTGTTTTTTAATAAATATCGTTTAAAGGAACATGTGTATGTGCTTATTTCAGTGTGTATAGAAAATGATATGGGATATTGCTTAAATTGGTTTTGAATTAAAATGGAACATAAACAGTAATAACCTTTAATTTTAGATAGTTAGCAGATTTTTATTTGAGCTAAACATCTAGTCAAAGCTGAAGACATTCTTGTGGACAAGTAGAGTTGAGTATCATCAACATAGCAATGAAATTGTATAATAGTGTTATTAACTCATTCCTAATAATTAATTTATTTTTTATTTGCCATGATGACAGTAAATAATATTTTACTAGATATTTTTCAAGACACTTCTATACAGGGTTAACTAGGTTAATTAGGTTAACTAGGTAGGTTAGGGTAATTAGGCAAATCATTGTATAACAGTGGTTTGTTCAGTAGACAATCTAAAAAAGTATATAGCTTAAAGGGGCTAATAATTTTAATATAATTTTAGTTTCCTAAAGTGTATGCATATTAGTGTATGTCACAGTGTATTACTTAATCTGATATAAATACAAATAAATACATTAATAGCAGACATCCATGCACATTCCTGAATTAATTATGACATGATGTATGCTTAATTGACAGATGACTTTATTACAGATTATTACCAAATCCAGTATTGAAGCGCATTACAAGTGCATTCAGCTATGCAAATCTGACATGCTATCATACTGTTGTGAAAACATACATTTTAAAATAAAAGTAGAACAAACATGAAATTATGTTTAACAGGCCACAGTTGACTCTTGTAGTGGAAAAATACATAACATTTTGGCTTGAGACTTATTTTTGTGGTATTGCATTGGCCAATTTGCTGACATTAGAACTTGGTTTAGAAATAAGATTAACAGGTTTTGGGTGAGCAAAATTTTACATACATGCAATAGAGTTGTGATGTTTTAGCAGATAGTTGTGACAACTGAATTGAAAGTTTACAGAATGTTATAAAGCTGTTTTGAAAACTGTAAAGATTTCTATAGGATACAGTGACCAAAGGCTGTATTAATGTTTGCTAAATATTAGCTTTTTCATCACTTAAATATATTAAGAAGTCATTTATTTTAAATTGTAATACGTTTTTCTGTATTTATATTAAGTGAATTCATCAGTTTGAATAAAAGATGCAAATATACTTCCTAAAGTGCTGACTTTAATAAAGCACTGAAAAGCATTTTTCATTTAACATCTAACAAATTTGAAAGATTTAATTTGTGTTTTCTTTACTAAATGAATTAACAGTTAATATTACTGAACTGAAAGCACCTCATTTACCGTCACAGTCCAAAATAATACACCTGGTACGTGCTTTATTGTACTCCTCCCAAAGAGACTTTCCATAACCTCACCGTCTTCAATTGAAAGTCTGTGGTTTGCAACTGCCTCTTCACTGCCTCTTCACTAAATGAATTAACAGTTAATATTACTGAACTGAAAGCACCTCATTTACCGTCACAGTCCAAAATAATACACCTGGTACGTGCTTTATTGTACTCCTCCCAAAGAGACTTTCCATAACCTCACCGTCTTCAATTGAAAGTCTGTGGTTTGCAACTGCCTCTTCAGCACGTACACTTGAAACAGAGCTGAGACCACGAGCTAGCAGGATTTCCTCCCTCTGACAAAAGACTTAATGATTATTATTATTGTTTCTTGCAGGAAGAGGGCGAGCTGATCGTGGAAGGTTTACTCAACATCTCCTGGGGCCTGAGAAGGCCAATCAGACTTCAGATGCATGATGACAATGAGCGCTTTCGCTATGCCTGCATGGGTGCGTGGAGGTCAGAGAGCCCAGAGTCCAGCAGGTAGGTGAAACCGGCCCAATCATGCTGCTACACCACACCCAGATGTGTGCTTTCCTAAATTAGGTCACAACCCCATCTGTTTCTCTCATTGACATAGACATCTCTATGCATAGGGCAGGTTGTATAATAGGTACTAATTTGTAGGTCAAATGGCTGCTGATTTGATTGTAGACAATGCAAATTGTCAACATACAACAAAGTAATACTTTTCATTTTAAATGTGATTCTATTGTAGCTGTACTTTTGTAGGTGTTAATGTCCTTTAATAGGGTTTCTGTGAGTCTTAAAACTTCTTTAAAAATCTTAAATTGCTTTTCTGGTAATTAAGCTCTTTTAAAAAGTTATAAATCAGAGCAGCTAGTCTTAAATTTATATGATGATGGCATTTATTTAGGTGAGGAATTGTTTCCTCGTGTCTTTCATTTTAAAGTGAAACCCAAGTGTAATTTCTGCAGTGATCATGGTCATTATTGGTGCCTTCAGTGTTCACCATTCATTCAGGTCATTATTCAGTATATCATTGTACATTGTAATTACAGATTTCCATATTGTCTTAAATCTGTGGGCTGCACATATTCATGCACTACCTGACAAAAGTCTTGTCTTCGATGCCAGTTGTAAGAGCAACATATTATTACTTGTTTTGTAGTTGATCATTTGGATTAGTGGCAGAAGGTTGATTTTTCATTTGTTGAACTGCATCCAAATCATCACAAATGCTGCAGAAGACCTATGAACCCGCATGGATTCAAGATTCTCACAGAAACCAGTCAAATTTGGTGAAGGAAGAATCATGGTTTGGGGTTACATTTAGTATGGGGGCATGCAAGAGATCTGCAGAGTGGATGACAGCATCATCAGCCTGAGGTATCAAGACATTTGTGTTGCCTATTTTTTTACAAACCGCAGGCGAGGGCAAAGTGCTCCTCATACTTCAGCCTCCACATCAATGTTCCTTCAAGCAAAGAGAGTCAAGGTGCTTTAGGATTGGCCAGCCCAGTCACCAGATATGATGATTATTGAGCATGTCTGGGATAAGATGGAGGAGGCATTGAAGATGAATCCAAGGAATCTTGATGAACTCTGGGAGTCCTGCAAGAACGCTTTCTTTGCCATTCCAGATGACTTTATTAATAAGTTATTTGAGTCATTGCAGAGACATATGGATGCACTCCTCTAAGCTCATGGGAGTCATACTCTATATTTATTCTTTTTCCACTACACCATACCTTTATATTCTATTCTGTTCATTATTACTGTTAAGTGACAGGACATTTGTCTAATCATAGTCAGAACTTATTGTTCTAATTAAATAATTAAAAATCAAGACAATCATATTTTATTTTGGTAAAATAAGTGTAATCTAGAGGCCTTTGCTTTTTATAAAAGCCACTTTTGATAACAAATGATCAACTATAAGTCAGGTTATTATTTGTTGTTCCTAAGACTTTTGTCAGGTAATGTATTTGTAAATCTTGTAAATCTGCAAACATTTTGTATCATCTGCACATAGCAGATCTGTCATCTGTCACATAGCAGCTGATAGCAGTATGCAAAATGAAGACTTTCAACTGACCACCAGTGGCGTCATAGCGGAGTCCAGAAATTGATGTTAATTAGAAATGTGCTTACACATTTATTTTGTACTTCTTTAACATCACAAGATATGTATTTATAGCAACAGTTGACAGCACTGTTATAGTGGTCTTTAAGTACACAATGCTAGGTAGATCCTATGTGTTAGATTAGTTATTTTGTATTTTTACTTTGTTGTGTTGTGTTTTACATGTTTTGTTGTAACTTTGAAATGCTCTTCATGTGCTGCTTTGACATTATACAAAGTTCTCAACAAATTGCTGCATTATTTTGATTTCAAATTTATGTCCATAAATTGTCTTTCTTAAAGTTTTTTTAATAGTCTTAAATTCACCTTCATAAAACCAGCAGAAACCCTGTTTGGTCATTGTTAGAAAAGTTTTGAGGTAAATTCTGACATGTGATTTAAAGTGGGTGAAAATGGTGTGGTGCTGCTCTTTCACCAACAGACAAAATGAGAGCTTGGCTATTTATTATTGTCACATGCAACAATCATCTGCACCATGGAAATTTTAATCAGGTCTAATGCCCAAAGCTGCAGCCACCTTGATTTCCTAATGTGATCAAAATAATTCACACGTGCACATAAGAAGCTTATCATCGGAATAGCGGATCACGATCGGCAAGTCAGTTGTATTATTATATAGCATCACTGATATAACATTAAGTGGTATCTTTTTGTTGTTCTAATGAAGGATTAAAGTTATTTTAAATAGAAACTGCTTAAATGAAATGGCAACGAGTGATGCAATGAGTTTATTAATGTCACATTTCATGAATATTCTATAAAAAAAATACACTACAAAAGACTCATGTGATATACATATAATTGACTGTAATATTATGTGATATGCATCATAGCAAGAAAGAAAGCTTAAATCAAATGGCCTCCTAGAAATAAGGATTTAAAAGCTGTCATTGGGGTGGTGCCATTTAAAAAGGTACACTTTCGGTACTTGTTAGTACCTAGAGTGTACATATTAGTGTCTAAATCAGGGATGCCCAAACTAGGCCCACAGTGACCTTTGATTTGGCCCACCATCTTATCTGAAAAGAGAGGAATAATGATGGCCATGGTTTAGAGATTGCCGTTTCAAATCTAACGTAACCTTGTTTGTTTGTTTTATTGTTAAAAACTAATTAAAAAGAAATTAAATGTATTTAAAAAAAGAAATTAAATGTTTTTAAATAAATGGTGTAAATTATTCAGATTTAGTTTAAATGTACATACCATCACCCGACGCATGATTGACTAGTGTATTCAACATTGAACACTGTGTTATAAATGTGATTGTTTTTGTTTTTATTGCAATAAGTTTTCAATTTAAATGTTATACTGCTTTGGTTAAATGATTTACAGTAATGATTTCTATTTACTTTTAAGTCCTATTAAATAAATTAGGAAATTACCCATTGCAACTTTTATGTAATATACAATAGCTTGCTATATTTATCTTCGGCCCACGGCTCTCAATGATATTTGGCTTTTGGCCCTAGATACGAAAACGTTTGGGCAACCCCTGATCTACTGTAAAATGTACATTTTTAAATGTTACCTCCCAACCCAAGTCAGAGGTTTTGTACTTTGTTTTTGAGAGTGTGTAGAAAACAATAATGCTTTTTGATTGAAATTTAAATTAAAGTAATCTAATATTAAAGATATTAGATTACAAATATCTACAAATATTAATTACAAATTTGATTACTATGATTGTTATGAACTACTTTGATTTTTATTGCAGCGATTTAGTATGTTTCTGGTGTGTAATAATTTTGGTAATAGTTTTTCTTTTTTTTAACCTCATTGTGTGGTTTTAATTTCTTAAACAACAACCTTGGAGGACGTATCCTATAGTCATGTTCCGTTTATCGGCCTAAAATTGTGATAGATGGCTTCATTTTCACACAATAATTGGACAGCAATTGATCAGAAAGGCTAACATCAATGTTTGATGCCAAACTGTACTATCTACTTATGTTGTTGTTATTTACAGGAATGAAAACGCTAAACACCAGTTCTGTTCAGAGCCCAACAACAATAAAATAAGTGCCACAACTCTATCCAGTAAGTATAAAATTATTATATAATGAATGTCTCCACTCACATTTATTAAACTTATCAGAAATGTTGTTGATTTTATATGTCTAGTGGATAACATTGGTGGTTGTAATAGATAATCACAAATTTACCACGCATCTTTCAATGCCTCTTACCATCTCTTACTAAAATTAAGTATGCTTTTATTACAATAGAAGTGTAGCAACTATGTTTTGATGTTTTGGTTACTATTTGTATAACCACAGTTTAACTACAAATATCATGGTTAATCTTCGGTTAGTGTAGCAAAAGTATCATTAATTTGTAGTTCCAATGGTTTAACTGCAAAAACCAAAACGTCTCCGCTGTTCTCCTGCAGATGTGGATGGAGTTGAGGAGGACATTCCTCAATTGCTGAGAACAAGAAGTGATGCCAGCTTTGTGAACATCCAAAGAAGATCCAAACTCCACAGCATTTCTGATTCCCAGCGGATAAAGAGACACCGGTTCTCCATCAATGGCCATTTCTATAATCACAAAGTAATTAAAACAAAACCTCTGTGTTCATTTTACTTTAATATATAAGCTGAAGTTAGCCTTTGTGCACTTGAACTGTGAATAGCTATTAAACTGTCACTTAGTATACAGCAGGGCAGCGTCTCAGGCGGAAGGCAGGGATGAGTTAAGCTTAAGTTCAGGAAAATAGTACAATAGAAAGACAGCACGCCTTGTGCTTGGCAAGGGGCCTGATGCTCTCATAAAGTGCCACAGCAGCATCTGTGAAGGGAAGTGTCCTTCGTCCAAGTGTTTATGTTGTACATCAGTCTTATGAGTTGGATGCAGGTGTTGAGAGGCAGTGTTTTCCTGTTCAGGCCTTCCCTTTGGCTGAAACATGTGCTTTTATTATATCTGCTGTCAGCTGCCTCTCTCAGAATGGTCCTCGAAGGTCATGTAAGTTGGCCTGGTCCTTTTGCAGATGTGCACAAGATTATTTATAGGGACTGTTGATAGATGTGTAGAAAAGTATTCAAATTTAAAATTGAGTCATAATTTACTCACTCTTGTGTTTTTTTAATTCTATATGCACTTTATTTTTTGTACCAAAAAAGATGCATATTGTGCAACCAGCATTAAACTTTAGGAAAAGAACAGTCTTAAGAGACACACAATTAAATTCAAGTTTATTTGTATAGCGTTTTTCACAATATTTATCTTTTATATAATTATATTGTATATTTAATGGGTTCTGTGGATTTTTACAGCACCCGTACAATGCTTAACTGCAAATTATTATTGCTTTAAAGTGAACAAACTGTCTGATACATAAATCTGAATGAAGATTTGAATATGTCACCATTTTTCTCAGTAAACATATTTCGAAAGGTGCCGTTGACTTGAAATTTTCCCCCACAAGTTTATAACAAAGAAATCCATATATGCAAAGAAAACAAATCTAATTAGTTTAATTAATGTATGCCTAATTAAATGAAATGACATAGGGAAAAATATTTTAAACACATAAGAAAAGGAGGTGTAGAAAGGCAGTGAAAACCCAGACAGCATATGAAATCTCTCAGTGGTTATTCAGAAACCCTCTTCCCTTCCTCATTGTAAATAAGCATTAGCTGCTTCAGTCCAACATCTACATTATCAGGATGATGAAAATGAAACCAGGGTGGACATTTCAGCAAGAAAATGATCCAAAACACAGCTAAGGAAACTCTCAAATGCTTTCAGAGAAAGAAAATCAAGCTGTAGAATGGCCCAGCCAATCACCTGACTTGAATCCAATAGAAAATACCTAATAAAGATCAGATTTGATAGACGAGACCCACAGAACCATCAAGATTTTTACACTTCTGAGCAATTCATGTGATTTCATTCTCCATATGGGAGACATCTTTAAGCTGCCATCACCAAAAATCCTTTTATGTAAAGTATTAAATATGTTTTTAGTTGTTCAGTGCTTTCTTCTTGTGTCATTTAATTGTTATTACACATAATTGCTAATGTTTCAGATTTTTGTTTTGTTTTATGTTTGTATTGTTTGGGTTTTTATCTAAATCTGGTCCAATTCTATGTCAACAGCACTTTTAGAAATATAATTCGCAGAAAAAACATGATGTTGCAGTACTTACTTTCTGTAACTGTCTATTTTTTGTTAATTGTCAATTTTATAAATTTTCTTTTTCCAAATGTCATTTGCCAGGTTGTGGTACTGCATAAAATGTTAAACATTCACAGTAAAGAAAGTGACAGTTGTTCATTAAGTGATCTCCGTTTTTACAGACATCAGTTTTTACTCCATCATATGGGTCGGTGACTAATGTGCGAGTGAACAGTAATTTGACCACACAGCAAGTTCTGAACCTGCTTCTTAATAAGTTTCGGGTGAGTTTTTCCTTATTTGATTGAATAAGATGAACTTGTACTTTTGGTGACTATACCTTGTTCTGTATGTCTGTACAGGTTGAGAATAAAATAGATGAGTTTGGTCTCTACCTAGTGCATGAATCAGGAGGTAATGCTTTTTTAGGTTCACTGTTATTTTTTTAATAAAAATAAATGGGTCACTTTATGTTGATGGTCCATTTGTTACATTGCATCTACATGTCAACTAATTCTCATTAGATTATAAGCAGACTGTTAGGTTAGGGTTAGGGTTAATGTAAGTTGACATGTGCTTGCAAAGTGTCTTATAGCCAGTTAAATGTCTGTTAAAGGAGCAGTATCAACAGATATTAAGCAGACAGTTGAATACTTAAATGGGCCATCAAAATAAAGTGTTACCAGTAAAAGTCATTTATTGCAACATGAAGGACAGCCACCAGTAAAATGTGCCACAGTAACAGTGATTGAACTTAATTGAAATTATAGTTAATTTTTTTCTACCTTTTGTTTACAGAGAGAACAAAACTCAAGGATACAGAATATCCTTTAGTATCTCGCCTGCTGCATGGTCCATGTGAAAAAATTGCCAGAATATTTATAATGGAAACAGACCTTGGGGAAGAGATTACATATGATGTGAGTATTCCTGTAGATTTCAGAGTTCACAATAGGTCATTCAGAACGTGCTTCCCCTGACAAACTGACGTTCTGTTGTACAAATATCAAATATAGATACAGGAAACAATAATGTTACTTCCAGATGCTACATAACATGTCTAATTTTAGGATTCTGTCTAGGACGATAACAATGGTACAATTTCTATTTCAGACTATTTCTTTGTTGTAAGATGAAAATGCTGCATAAATTCTATGTGCTATTAAGCATTATTTACTTGTATTTCATTGGTTAACGCAATAATGAATTATCTTTCAGGTTGCACAGTATATTAAGTTTGAAATGCCTGTTTTGGACAGTTTTATCAAGAAACTGAAAGAGGAGGAAGAAAGAGAGATTTTAAAACTGACAAGAAAGTAAGGCATAAGGGTTTCTTTATTTTTATAACAACATAACAATATATTATTTTTAATCTTCATTGTACTTTTGTTTTTTTACAGATACCGCATGCTGAAGTCAGTGATATTGCAGAAATTGGATGGCATCTCTGAGAATGCAAGTTATGTGTGAGGAAAATGTGCTGAGATTAGAGGCTTTTTCTCTGTGTTTGAGCCACAGGCTGATAGCTTTTAGGTTGGTTTTTGTATTCTTAATCAGTGCAATAACTAGTGTATGGGAAGTATAAGGTACTAGTAACTATGTTTTCTTGAGAAACTACTATTAAAGCTTCTTCTGAGGCTAAATTTCTAAATACAATAAACTGCTGGAAACATGCTTACAATGCATGTTAAACCTGCTTGTATAATGGTTATTTATGTTAGCATATAAACCCTTTTTACATTTCCAGGTTTCTCAGCAGAAGTTGTTATAGTTGGGTAAACTTAATGGGGAAAGAATGAAAGAGTACAACAATTTTTTTTTTTTACTTTTTTGCTGAAATATTGAAAGAAAAAAAAATCATGATGGTGTAATCAAGACTTTCTGAAAAAGAAAAAAAATGTGTAAGACTGATGAGGGCAGTCAGAAGAGAGAATAACATCAAATGTACTCTCAGCCCCATAGACGCTGCATTAGAAACACCCAAGCGCTTATTCATTTTTGTTATTTGATGCAAAGATGATATACATACATAAATACATATAAATGTTCATACATTTTTTTTAATCTAGACATTAAAAACTTTCAAGGATTTAAGATTAGCATGACCGTTAAATGCATCATAACAATCTTGTGAAAAGGGTCCATTAGTCAACTTGCTAGAAAGCATGTTATTAATATGCTAATTCATGTTAACAATGTGTTAAAACATACCAGAAAACGCAATCTGGTAAAACATGTTAGAGAAATGCCAGTAACATGCTAATGCAAGCATGTGCTAGAAACATTCATAGGTTTCTTTCTGTACACTTCACTTTAACTTTTAACTTTAAGCTTACAAAGTTTTTAAACTTTCTTAAGCCAACATAAAAGTTTGTCCCAACTACTATTTAATTGTAACTTTACTGCTGTAAGTACTTTTACCTACAATTCTCAGGCATTCAAATTACCTAGAATGTTCTTTTATGATGCACTTGTGATTTTAAAAGACAAACTGTTGTATTTTTATTATTTTATCCTATACAATAATCAATAATTATTGATTATTTTATTCATGTAAAAGTATAGAATGTTATTTTTAGCATATTGATTACTAGTTGAATAAACAGTTTTACCACAAATACCTTGGTTAGACTATGGTTAGTAATGGTTTATTTATTTAAAAATAAAGTGTTGTAAAAGCCAAGGTTAATTTGTTTAAGGGATGTTAAACTTAGAATATATACTCACCTGACAAGTTACAATATTACCTTTTATACGTTTTCAAAAATAAAATTAATATATAAGGAATTGTGTTAGCTTGGTCTCTTGGTATCATGTTTTGCAATCATGCAGTGCTATAGAATATCTCATTTATGACTCCTTAAATAAATTTTTGAGAATTTTGGGGCATGATCTTAATATTTCAAATTGCTTGTGAACACAGTTTATTACAAAACAATCGCACAGAGCTAAAGTTCATCATCCCAAATCATTGTTTTATTACTTGAGGAAAAAAAATACAGTTTCCGCTATGTTCACAATGAGCTTTTCTCATTGTTTAGTGAGTGACCCCTGCTCTGCGCCAGTTCCCACGAGCCATAAAAGCTCATGCTATTGAGAAAAGACATGAAGTCAGTGCCTTCTGGCTTCAGTGCCCATGTTGCACAGTGGGAGGCATCCTGGGAACAAGGAACATTACATTACATTACTTGAGGTGGTTCCCATTTCCTGAACAAGATCAAGAAGAAGAAAAAATAAACCGTGCTTGTGTACAGTTAGTCATTCTATGATATGGGGCACAGTATTGATGTGAATGTATTAGCTATAAATGTATATTGTACATGCAAAATCAAGCTAAATTTTGCCAATTCCTAATCACTTCATTCTCAAAAGCTAGTGATGGATCATTTTTAAGGCATGGTAATAAAACAAAATGACTAATTCAGTTGCTTTATAATAATAAAACAAATTCAGATGCACATAATTATTAAGCAGCCTTTATTTTAAAGGCCAAATGGCCCATAAACATGATTAAAAGCTCAATATTGGTGGCATTTATGTTAATTAATGAATTACTGTAGTACTGCATCCTTCAGTTCATGTTGCATCTCAGTTTTGGGCCATTTCGCTTGTAAAAGAGAATTTACGGTATAAATGCACATCAGAATATGGCTATTTTCACTTTCAGCCCCCATTAACAATTATACATCTATTATTAATGAATTATATACAACATAACAGTTATAAAGTTGGATGGGGCTTGGAACTGGTAAAGTATTATTGGTAAATGGTATGCTCAGAATATTGACTTGTATAGTGTACACTCAGTAAAAATGTAACAGTATAGTGTAATAATTGTTTTAAATGAATTTGTGTTTAACACTGAAAGTATTATTTGTAAATGTATAAATGTTTACCAGGGGTGGCCAAACTTTTTCTTATGATGGGCCAAAACCCAAACTTGATTTAGGCTAGTTGGAGGAAGGTAAATACAGTTGCCATGGGCAATTTCCTATTGTATTTAATAATGTTTAAAAAGTACTAGAATACATTGCTCTATATTAATTAATACAGTATATATATTGTATTTCATAACAAACTTATTACAGTGAAAACAAAAACAATCTCATTTATAACATTGAGTTACACTAGTTTTTGCCTTGATTTGCTCGTTGATGCCTTCAGCATAGTCCTCTATTTGTTATGTTACAGTATAAACAACCTCAGATTCATTTATATTTAATTAAAACATTTCATTTCTGTGTGCTTTTTTTGTAGCTCTGCAATAAAACATCAAAAAGGTTACGTCAAATTAGAAATGACGATCTCTGTTAAGGGTTTTTATCCCAACCCTCTTCATCATTCTCAGATAGGATGGTGAGCCAAATCAAAGGTTACAATGGGCCAACTTTTGCCCGCTGGCCCTTCTTTGGGAATCTGATTTATACAGAATTTGTATTTTAGTAACTTTTTAAAACAGCAAAATAGGCCGCTATGCACCCTGTTAAAGAAATAGATTATTTACTCCCTTAATTTAGAAAAATCTGCAGTTTACACTTTCAAATTGTTTTGTTGCTAACAAGCTGTTGCCAACAAAGCAGACTGATGGCATTCTATGAACAGTGTAAATAAGAATATAGTGCCCCCTTCTGGCCAAAAGGTTACAGCTGTGTTCGGCATATCATGAAAGATTAAACTATTTTATATAGTTAGTGCTCTAAAATGTTGTTTAAACATGTAAATATTTTTTATTATTTGCATATAGGCTACCATAATTTGCTTACATTTATAGCAGGGTTATGTCTTTAGGTTTAAAATAACGTAAATAAACTCATAATATGCTTTTCTATGTGAATTGCCAACGCATTTTCTTTTCTTGTGCGGCAGAAATTACCTTTTAGTCCCATAAATCGACACATTTGTGAAATTGATACAATTCTTACTATGACAATAAACGACTGCTGGTGGAATTATTTGGGGGAAGTATTAATAGCAAAAAAAAAAAACCCTATTAAATTATTTCAGAACGTCGGCAAATGTTAACGGAAACCATGACTTCCGGTCTATATCGGAAGCTCTTTTTGCAGTGAGTGAAAGCTGACCTACTGTACCGTAAAAAAATTTCCATTCCATGGAGTCTCGCAAAGTATTTTGTGTTTTTGAGACAAACGTCAGTGACGTTTACATTAGGGTCAAGTTCAGTTCACATGACATGTGGGAGGAGCGTCGAGTTGAAGACTAAACGTTTCTTTCAGTCCTCCATGTCTGTATCCTGAACGAATGGATTCAATGGCTCAGCGTCCAGACCGTGATTCTCAGATATTTATAATAGGATGCGGCATCTCAGGAATCGGTGCTGCTCAGAAATTAATCAAACACGGTTTTCATAATGTACGCATTATAGAAGCAACTGCAAGAAGCGGTGGGAGAATACGAACGGGCAGACTGGGTAAGTTATGTATAAAGTATTTTTTAATATCAACCACAATCTGTATTTATTCTGTTGACGTTTTGCTTTTGTATGGTCATTTTCATTGTTAAAATGTCATTGGATGACTCGCTATACTCTCATCATTGTCAAAGGCCTACACGAAAATGTGTTATATGCTATCTGTAATGATGCTGATAATCAGCCTTTCTGTAATAACGTGGTTTGCATGAATCAAGAGATTCAGTTGGCGGAGCATAAAGTGTTTATATTAAATATGGCGAGATAGATAGATAGATAGATAGATAGATAGATAGATAGATAGATAGATAGATAGATAGATAGATAGATAGATAGATGCTGTAGGTAGATTTTGCAGAGCATTTATAACATGACGTTAGATCATGAGGGGCATTTTTATTTAAAAAAAAAAAGGCTTTGAGCGACTGGTATGTGTGTCACTAAGGTTTTAAGTTAAAGTCCATTTTCTTTAACAAGTGAACCCAATAAAACGCAATGCATACAGGCAAGGGTCAACTATATGATGAAAGTACAATTTCAAAGTACAGTTTGGGCAAGGTGTTACAAGGGCTGTACAGTTTTATCATTTATGAACTACAGTATTTCTTGGCCACGCATTTATATATTGATTGAGGGAAAGTTGGTTTTATATTGACACATTTGTTCTTTTTTTGAACTTTGACAGCTTCTTTATATTGTTCACCAAGATACTTGGAATATTGGGTCTGAAATCGCACTTAAGCATGACTTCAAAACATTGGCACTATTTAAATGACTGTGAACAATGTTGTACTTTGATAGTCGTTGGCTGCTAATATGATTTTACTATTTATATTTTGCAAATAATACTTTTCTGAAATTATATTATTAATGAGAAATTACAAATGTGTGAATATAAAACCAACTTTATCTTAATTACATGTTGCCATAAGAGGTCAATGCACGTTCAATGTGCAATATTCAGTAGAATATTATTGTGTCATCCACCTCTGGGCTTCTTAATAGATATAATTCATATTTATTTATTTATTTTTGTTCAAGGTGATAACATCATAGAGATCGGTGCCAACTGGATCCATGGCCCGTCGAAGGAAAACCCAGTGTTCCGTTTGGCATGTGACTATCAGCTCCTAGATAAAGAGTCGATGTCTGAAGAAAACCAGGCCATTGACATTGGGGGTCATCCTCTGTTTGTTCCCAACTGGTTTACCAGTTCAGGTCGGAAACTGGGGCCTGAGACTATGGGCCCAGCGCTTGAGTTTTTCATGACATTACTGGAAAGGAGCCAGCAGTTCCACAGCACCGGTGGAGAACCTCTGCCGAGTGTTGGAGAGTTCATCAAGGCAGAAGCTGAACGTCTGGCCCCAGAGGAGTGGAAGGAGGACAGAGATAACTTTGCAGTGAGGATGGCCATGATAAACACACTCCTCAAACTGGAGTGCTGTGTCAGCGGAACACACACCATGGATGATGTTGGTCTAGGAGCATTTGGCATGTATACAACTCTTCCAGGACTTGACTGCACTTTCCCAGGGTGAGTTTCTGTGCCTTTTTTTTGTCATTTTGAAATGTGTCCTTGAAAGGCACTATATAAGACAAACTCTATTATTGTTGTTGTTGTTGTTGTTGTTGTCCAGTTCCAACAGTGCTTTCTTGAGTCTTGTAAACTAAATTTGTTCAATGTGTTTTTCCCTTAGAGGTTATGAAGGTTTGACTGATCACATGATGAAGGAGCTTCCCCGAGACATAGTCTTATACAACAAGCCTGTAAAGTGCATTCACTGGAACTACACCAAGAATGGGCCCAACACTGGAGGAACGTCATTCCCAGTTACGATTGAATGTGTTAATGGAGAAACATTTGCAGCAGATCATGTTATTGTCACAGTTCCACTTGGTGCGTATAGTAGATTCAGCTTGAATTGTTGACCTAATGAACTATTCTTGAATCTAATTGAATCTAATTTGAGCAAAAAAGCTAATGTTCTGGGCGAGGCAGTGGCGCAGTAGGCTATACTTGTTTCAGTGTTACACTGAATGATGATGGACATTATTTCACTGACATTTTATATATATTTTTTTAAGAATTGTTATTTAAAACATTAAAGTTGATAGTTGCACTTAATATTTTTGATATCTATGTAAAATCAATTATATGAATTTGATTCGGACAGCAAAACTCTGTCTTTGATACATGATCTGTATAAAGATTTTTATTATAGTTTATGACTTAATTTTTTACAAAAAAATAATAATTATGATTAGGGCTGGGCAATTAATTGAAAAGTAATCGATATCGACATTCAGAACCTGTAATCGATCAAATTTTTCCTGGTCAATTTTTTCAGTTATTTTCTTTACTGCGTATTTTCCCTACATGTCACCTCGCTCGGGTAAGGCTGATTTATACTTCTTTGTCTAATGGTCCGGTGCAGGCTTCGTGCGTTCAAATACCTGCATACCTTTCAAAAAATGTAACTACACATCACACATTTGCACTACATTGACGATGATTGGAAGCTGTGCCAGAGATGCTTTGAGACGGCATATTTTCTATTGCAATAAAATTAATATTAACATTAAAATATTTGTTTACAGAAGATTTAAGAAATACACTGTTTAAAATATTATTACAAGATATACAAGAGTATTAAGAAAAGATGTTGCTTATTTTCTACTTTTTTTTTTTCATAAAAAACGCTGAAAATCATTTGTTTCGTTTCCAAAAGTGCAAGTTATTTATTTTCACTTTTTATAGGATAAAAGTGACTGTTTGTTTTAGGCAGTGTGTGTTATCAGTTGTTCAGCGTTGATGGTCTCCCTTCATTTAAAAGTCTTTCACTTGTAATGTGTGTGCATATTTACTGTACATAACTTGTCAGTGAACTATGAGGGCAAAAAAATTAATAAATACAAAAATAAAATAATCGTTCGTTAATCGTAATCCAGTTAAAATGTTCAATTAATCGTGATTTTGATTTTAGGCCAAATCGCTCAGTCCTAGTTATGATAACCTTTCTTTCTTTTTATTTTTTGCAGGATACATGAAGAAGCATCAGAACACTTTTCTGAGTCCTTCTTTTCCACTGCACAAACTACACTCCATTCAGAGAATGGGCTTTGGGACGAACAACAAGATCTTTGTTGAGTTTGAGCAGCCTTTCTGGGATGAAGACTGTGAACTTATTTACCTTGTATGGGAGGACGAGACCCATCTTACTGATGTTGTTTCTGATTTGAAGATGTCCTGGATTAGGAAGTTGACTGGGTTCACTGTGCTGAAGCCCACTGAAAGGTAACACTCTTTAGGAATTTCCTTCAATACTGCAAATTAAAGGTTTATCAAACCCCTAAATGAAAATATGCTGTAATTTGACTTACCCACAGGCTACCCAAGAGTTTATTTTCAAGTAGAACAGTAGAGAAGAGATTTAGCTGAATCTGTAGTCCTTCTTGGTGATTTATATAATGCAAGTCTACAACAAATATATACAGACAAAATTAAATTAATACTTGTCACTACTTTGAGATCTCAAAGGGATAGATCACCTAAAAATTGTAATTTTGTCATAATTTACTCATGCTTTATATTCTTTTGTTGAACACAATATATATTTGAGGAAAGCTGGAAAACTGTAACCACTGACTGCCATTGTGTTTTTGTTTTTAAAAGGAAGTCAATTGTTACATGTTTCCAACATTTTTTCCAAATTATCATCTTTTGTGTTCAGCAGAAGAAAGAAGATCATAAAAGTGTGCAACCAATTAAGGGTGTGTAAATAATAAGCATTTCCCTTTAAATTAAACAATTAGTTAATGCAGCCATATTTGGAACATTATTACCCTCAGGGAACAATGTTTAAATGTGGCATTACGCTACGGAAAGTTTGTCCTCCAGAATGTGATAAACACACTTAGAAATGAGCTGGGGCTGTTGGAAAAATTATCAATGTAGTAAAAAAACATTCGGTTTCTAGCACAGAATGAACATTTAGCTTCATAAGATCTCATAGAATGTATTGTTTTTTGGCGGGGCTCTCATAGTGGAGGTAGCCATTGACTACCTCCAAGCATCATATGAATCATTAAGTACCACAATTTCAGTTAAAAATTGATTAAAATGTTCTATTGAAAAAAGTCACCTATCGTTGAAGTCAGAATTATTAGCCCCCCTGAATTATTAATCTCCCTGTTTATTTTTTTCCCCCAATTTCTATTAAACAGAGACTAGATTTTTTTCAACACATTTCTAAACATAATAGTTTTATTAACTCATTGCTAATAACTGATTTATTTTATTTTTGCCATGATGACATTAAATAATATTTTACTAGATATTTTTCAAAACACTTCTATACATCTTAGTCACATTACAAGGCTTAAATTTGACCTTAAAATGTTTTTTTTATTTATTCAAAACTGCTTTTATTCCAGCCGAAATAAAACAAATAAGAGTTAAAACAAAATATTATTAAATATACAGTAAAAAATTTCCTTGATCTTTTAAACATTATTTGGAAAATATTTTTAAAAAGAAGAAAAAAATCAAAGGGGGATAATAATTCTGACTTTAACTGTACATCTTGGTTGATCTGAGAATAAATGAACAGCAGTCGGCAATATATGTTATTGTAATGTCATTTTTTAGTTGTACTATCCCTTTAAACTATTATAAGTATGATGTTGTACAGATTTGGACATGTGCTCTGTGGATGGATCGCAGGGCAGGAATCGGAGTACATGGAATCTCTGTCTGAACTAGAAGTGCTGCAGACTGTCACACAACTCCTTCGCATATTTACTGGTAATATTTTTACTTTTTTATCCCAAATTATTAGATATAGTCTAAAAATCTTGAGAGCACATTCAGAATGAGCAACGCATTTTGTAAAAGAAAATAAGTACATTTGTGACTTAACCACAAGTAAATAAAATAAAATCACTTTAATAAGTAATTGGCGGGCGGTTCTTTCCGCTTTGGCGACCCCCTGATAAATTGGGGGCCAAGTCAAAGAAAAATGAATCAATATAATAAAGATTATAAAACATACAATTTCAATAGCTTGTTGAATCTTTTTAATTTTCAGGAAATCCAACTATTATGCCAAGGAAGCTGTTACGATCTCAATGGTTCCATGAGCCCTATTCCTGTGGATCTTACTCCTACGTGGCCAAAGGTTGCTCAGGATATGACATCGATAACCTCGCTGAACCCTTGCCGTTGAAAGGCTCCAACTCAAAGGTTTTCAATTGCTTAGCCATTACACTTCTTATTTTATCAGCAACGCCAACCTGATTTTACCAAGTAGGACATGTTCCTGCATTAATATCGATGTTGTTCCTGGAATAACATTACAATCAGCCAATCAGAATTAAGGGATGTGTTTACAATTTATGTTTAGGCTTACGGTTGGGTTTATGCACTTCTACAGAATTGTTATCCAGCTACCCTCTGATTTTGGGAATAATTTACAGTTATGGTTGGGTTTGGTGGTATGGATTGCATTTTTAAACAAATATGGTGTTCTGGGATTAACATCGATGTTAATCCAGGATTGCATCGTACTTGGTAAAATCATGATGTGCTTATGGGCAATAAACAGGAATTTTCATCATTAACTTCCATTTAATTATTAAATGATGATTCTTTCTTGTACAATACAGTAAATGGTACTTTGCGTTTGCAGCCTTTGCAGGTGTTATTTGCAGGAGAAGCTACACACAGGTCTTTCTTCTCTACGGTGCATGGAGCTTTACTCAGTGGCTGGAGAGAGGCAGAGCGTCTGATATCTCACCACACTTCTGCTTCTGGATCATTCTCATCTAAACTGTGAATGCTGTCCTCGTCTGGAAAGATTGCCCTTTTCATTGAAACTGAAAGGGTTTGTACCTTAAAATCGTCAGTAAAGGATTATCCGGATGTAATGAATGACTGCTTGGCAATTGTCCCAATGCCTTTGCAAAAATATAAGTGGGTATTTAAAAATTTCAGTAACGCTTTACACTGAAGTTGCATTAGTTAACATGAACAAACAGTGCACGGCGATACAGCATATATTCAAATACAACAATGCTCATTTCATTGTTACTAATCATGGCCTAATCAAAAGTTGTAAATATACACAGGGCTTTTTCCTGGCTCAGAATAAAGCAGAGGGGTATCCTGATTGTGACATTTTTGCTACTTAAAACGAACACATTTTGCATTATTTTAATATTATCAAGTAACATTATCTTATTTTAAAAAGGCTAATGTTAAATGTAATGAAATACATGACCACTGCTTGAGCATCACTTGGGGACTGTTGGTAGCCATGACTTTCTGCCTGATATATTTTATATAGATTAAAATGTTATCTATTTACAGTTGAGGTCAACATTATTAAACCCCTTGAATTATTATCGCCCCTGTTGATTTATTTTTTTCATCAAGTTTTTGTTTAATGGAGAAAAGATTTTTTTAACACATTTCTAAACATAATAGTTCTAATAACTCATTTCTAATAACTAGTTTCTCTTATCTTTGCCATGATGACAGTAAATAATATTTTAATAAATATTTTCCAAGACACTTCTATACAGTACAAAGGGATATTTTAAGGCTTAACTAGGTTAATTAGGTTAACTAGGCAGGATAGGGTAATTAGGCAAGTTATTGTATAATGATGGTTTGTTCTGTAGACTATCAAAAAATATATGGCTTAAAGGGGCTAATAATTTTGACCTTAATGTTTTTTTTTTTTAATAAAACAAATAAGACTTTCTCCTGTAGAAAAAATATCAGACATACTGTGAAAATTTTCTTGCTCTTAAAATTCATTTGGGAAATATTTAAAAAAGAAAGAAGATTTCAAAGGGCAGCTAATAATTCTGATTTCAACTTTATATATTAGTTCATGTTAACTTTTGCAACAAATGAGGCCTTATTTTTGTGTTACCAAATGCTAGTTGTTGTTTCTGTGATCTGAAAATAATTTATATATATTAAACATATTTTCTCATAATACTTTTTGTGTGTTTGTTTAAATTTTCTCAATTGTCTTGTGTTAAAAACGTAATCAGTACAATATAATTGTTTATCATAAATATTTAAACTTACTGCAATATATTCATACATAATAATAGAAGATAGTGTTTGGGTTATAAATAATTGAAAATTGATTGTAACCAGAATTAAACTGTAAATGTTAAACAGACATTCAAATAGTTTTTATTTGTATATTTAATGGCACAAACTATTGTGCAGAACGAATGTACGGTCACATTTTAGTGTATGCAGCTTTGCATTGTTATTTATCATGAGTAAAATAAGTAATAGATTTAAGTGAATTTTTTAAAGTGAAACTAGTTTCAAGAGGATTGTGTTTATGATTGACCACAGCTGGTCCTGCATTAGCTACTGCATTATCCACCAATCAAATGATTCATAGCTCACTATAAATAACAAAGTTTCTTACTTCAGTCATTTTCTTGAAGAATCCCCCCTTCCACCCCTACTTCTCCTTTTTTCCTGATAGGGTGACATGGCGGTCCAGTGGTTAGTACTGTTGCCTCACATCAAGAATGTCACTGGTTCAAGTCCCTAGAGTTTACATGTTCTCCCCATGTGACATAGGTGAAATGATCAAATCAAATTAGTACCATAGACAAACTCTTAATCAGCAGTATATCTCCATATAGCAATCCCTAATTTGTCATTAACCATAAATAAGCTGGGGAGTTCTTGAGACCTACCTGAGCTTTAATTCCCCCCTCGCTCTGGAAACTAGAGAGAGAACCATGGGCATGGGACAGCATGCCTAACAGGAAAACTGGAAGTAAAAACTGTTCTTGACTATTATATATTTATTGCCTTGTATTTAAAATTCCATGAAATATGGACCACTGTACACAAAGTACAATTATATTTATTTAAAAATTAAGTAATGTAACAATTTTTCATAGATGTTACCCAGTGATAGGTTGCAGCTGGAAGGGCATACGCTGCATAAAACATATGCTGAATAAGTTGGCAGTTCATTCCGCTGTGGCGACTCCAGAATATTCAAGGGACTATGCCGAAAAGAAAATTAATGAACGAATGAACAATTTTTCTGCATTTGCTTTGTAGTTTGCATAAACCACTGTACATATATTATAATTACTTTATAATATGGATATTTTAACCCACACAAAACATATTTATCATAGCTTAAACGGTATAGGTATAAAACGTATGCCTACTTATTATTGTTCTCCATCCCGCGCAGTAGAGGGCGGTGTGCCCAAAAGTCACTGCTTCTTTGTTACAAAAGCCACCGAAGAAGAATCACGTCACGATGGAAACCTCTCTTCATCTTTTAGCAAGACAACATCACAAGTTCTTTTCAGATTTCAAGTGAACGGTGAGTGGACTGTCATAAGCCTGCAAGTGCAGCGTATATTTATTACTTATCTATTAAACAATCTTAAACTAAATGTAAGAAGGTCATTTTTGGTCGTGAAGTGTTTATTTAGCACGGACGCGTTTGATGGATATTATAGTTTTAAGTAACGTTAAGTGACTAAAGACATGTCATTATGAGTACTGCTCACTAGTACCTTTTTAATATATATATATATATATAATATCTGCCTTTTCTGTCTTAGCACTGGTGGAACCATGGAAATGGGTCATGAAGAGCTTCTACAGCTGAATTAGAGCTTTGGCCATCAAAAGTCGAAGACTTGGTTATAATGGAGCAAGGTTTGCCATCTCCAAAAGCAGCCTCACTGCAACTTATGATGACAGGATGCTTAAAAAGTGAAAACAATAGTACATTCACATCGCAAACCAACTCCATGGAGCCAGAGATAGAAGTCAAACTGGAACCTGATCAAGATTCTTCATCTCTTGACTTTAACGAACCAGAAATGTTTCCTCATTCTCCTGGAGTTATTAAAGAGGAAAATGTGGATTTTGGCATGCAAATCTTACCAACAGGCCTAATACCTCCAGTTGAAATGGAGGAAGACTCTGAAATCAAAACGAACAAAGCTGATTTAAGCAAGAAATGCACTGGCAAGCAGAAAACGACAAGAAAACGAAAAGGAAGTGATGCACCAAGCCATTCAATGAGATGTTCCACAGAGCAGTGTAAAACAACCAATCAAATTATTCCAACTAAAATGAATTCTGATGTGTCGGGTGAAGAAATCACTTATGTGATAATACAAGAAAACACCACACAAAATCCAAAGAAACCAGGTTCCGGCAAAACGTCCTGCAAAGAAGAGCGGTTTATGTGTGAAACCTGTGGAAAAGGATTTCAGCGGTCTGATCTGCTCACGGATCACAGGAAAATCCACAGGAGACAGAAACCATATGCTTGTGAGCATTGCGGGATGAAGTTTGCCAAGCCGTCTTATTTGAAAATCCACTTGCGTAGACACGCCGGTGACCGGCCAATCACATGTGACCAGTGTGACAAGAGGTTTTTCGACACCTATGACTTAAAGGTGCACCAGAGAGATCACACTGGAGAAAGACCTTATATATGCTCGGAGTGCGGGAAGGGCTTTAAACGCATTTACATTCTTAACAAACATAAACTGACCCACTCAAAGGAGAGACCCTTCCAGTGCTCTGTGTGTGGTAAAGCTTACAGATATGGCTACAGTTACAGGTTGCATATGAAAGAGCATCTTGAAGAGGGTCCATGATGTGTGGTAGCATATTTATTAACTATACATTCTCATTCCTTTCTTAAGGGAAGAATATATCCACGTGTATTGTAAAATCTGTTTTAGAGCTTGAGTAGGCTTTTTAAATGAAAACTTTCCTCTATGCTTTTAATGGTGGTTTAAATGAAGGATCCTCAGTGATCAATTGTTCCACTCTGAAAGAGTTATGTGGTTGATTAATGTAGTTTTCAATTGATTTAGTATATGGTATTCTTGCTTATAACTGTGTGTTAAGAGCAGGTTTCTGCACATTAAAATTAGGGCATTACAGATAAGTCTCGTTTTTCTTTCTGATCATTTGTGTTTGAAGAAATGTTTCAGCTGATATTATAGAGAATGTATCACGAGTTATAATAGAATTAAGTACCTGTGTAAGATTAAATATTAAACACTGCAAAAGCAAGTTTTACATTAGTCAAACAGTGATAAATGGAACGATGGTTTGGAAATAAAGGCAATTTTGCTATGATGAATCATGTACTGTATGTATGTTTGTATGCTGCCTTTCAAAGAGCATAATACACCTTGCAGCGAAAGCTGTAAAATTGCTAAATATTATTACAATTAAAATAATTATTTCTATTTAAATATATATTTAAAAAGGAAATTTACTCTTGTGATACAACGCTGATTTTTTAGCAGACATTACTCCATGAAATCTTTGTAAGATGCTAATTTAGTACTCACTTGTCTTTTAATATCAATGTTTCAATCAGTTGTAATTTTTAATAGTATTTATACTATTAACAGTGCAGTTTTGAGGATTTATTTGAAATAATATATATTTGCTATGTTTAGAAATGTATTTACTGTCACTTTAGATCAATTAGATGCACCCTTGCTGACTAAAATATTTTGTTTTTGAAAATAAAAGCAATTAGAGACCTCAAACCTTGCAATGGTAGTATATATGTTTAAAAAGAATGTTCACCCTCATTCAACTTCAAACCTGTATAGCTTTCTTTTTGTAAAATCCAAAAGAAGATGTTTTGAAGAATGCATATCTGTGTTTTCATACAATAAAAGCCATATTTGGACTTCTATAGGGAAAAAAACAATAATTTGAAACATAATTTTTTTTTTTAAGTTTTAATTTTGTTACAGAGTAAAAAGATGTCATGCAGGTGTGGAATCATACAGTATGGAGATCTTGTTGGGTTGTTGTTTGATCATTTCTCCAGCAGAGGGAGGCCAAATCCAGCACATTTTTATTAAATGTTACTACACAGAAATGTAATGTCCTATAAAAATGCACCTTTTGTAAATTGTGTGTTTAAAGGTGGAATCATGTAAGTAGCATTCGGTTTAATGATGGAAGCATCAGGAAATGGAAAAACATGGCAGAAAGTCACCAAAGAAGAGAAACGCGTTTATTGGTTTGAGTCTTCGAAACTTCTCTCCACTCCGATGAGATGTCCCAGTATGAGAATTGTTTTTGGATCCATTACAGAACCCGCTTTTTAGAGCTGCCATGTCTGTTGGCAGATTTGAAGACTTTCACAGTCACCTGCAGTTTAATAACATGAGAACCAGAGCGGAAAGAGAAACATTAGACCAACTGGCAGCTTTCCGAAATGTGTGGGACCTGTTCCTGGTCAACTGTAAGAAAAGGTTCATCCTGGGGAATTGTGTCACTGTGGGTGAACAGATTATGCCATTCAGAGGAAGATGCACACATTTCAGCAACACTGGACTAAGCAACCTGTCAATGGTGTTAAAGTGTTTTGGTTGTGCGACGAGGGGTTTTTCTATGCTACTGATGCTGTGATCCACACTGGCAAACAGTCAGGAGAGGAGACTAAAGAGATGCTTGCAGAGGACACAGTTCTGATGTTGTCCAGTGGGCAGAAAGGTACAAATATGGATTTATAATTCAAAATGTAGGGTCAGTAAATGGTTTTATTTTATAATTAACTAATGAAAAGCAGCAGTAACAACATTCATCATGCTAACAAAAGATTTAGGTTGACTGCCTTCAACAATAGGAAATGTTTTCTGAGCCACTAATCAGCATATTACTGAAAGCATTGCGTAATCTGGAAATTAAATTCAGTTTAATTTCAGTAAATTAAATAAAACTTGTATTTATTAAAATAAAAATAAAAAATAAAATACCAAAGTAAAAATAAAATTCTGACAGGGGCGATGCGGTGGCGCAATTTGTAGCGCTCTCACCTTACAGCAAGAAGGTCGCTGGTTCGAGCCTCGGCTGGGTCAGTTGGCATTTCTGTGTAAAGTTGGCATGTTCTCTCCGCGTTTGCGTGGGTTTCCTCTGGGTCCTCCGGTTTCCTCCAAAAGTCCAAAGGCATGCAGTAGAGGTGAATTGGGTAAGCTAAGTTGTCTGTAGTGTATGTGTGAATGAAAATGTGTGGGTGATTCCGAGTGATGGGTTGCATAACATGCAAACTCATCACAGCAATGTCAACTGACTCAGCCGGGACTCAAACTAGTGACCTCCTTGCTGTGAGACGACAGTGCTAGCCACTGAGCCACTGTGCCACCCCAATATAACTTTATGGGGAAACCAATAATGCCTAATACAAACACTAGCCATTAGCTTTATGATTTCACCACAGCACTGTATTTTTTTCTTAAAGGGCACCTAGTTTACCCCTTTTACAAGATGTAAGATTACCCTTTGGTGTCTCCAGAATGTGTCTGTAAAGTTTCAGCTTAAAATACCCATCAGGTTATTTATTATAGCCTCCAGAATCTGCTCATTTTACTGTGTTGAGTATACTCTAGCTGTTTTTGTAGCCTGTGGCTTTAAATGCAAATGAGCTGCTTCTCTCCGCCCACCGTTTCTGTCTGCCAGTCTGCCTCTCATCATGCGTTTTGTCAGGTTAACAGCACAGTGACAGAGAAAGACTCTGATGAAGCTGAAGTACAGCTCATTAGTCTAAAATACCAAGTATGTTTATTTCAAGTATTTGTGGTGGAGTTAATTCAAGCCTTTCTAAAATTATAAGTCTCACACAAATGCCATTTGCAGTACACACAAACACATACACACACACACACACACACACATATTAGCATTTACTGACACCATGTGGCCAAGGTGATTATAGCGGTATAGAATTAGATATTGATCTTACAGTCTTTATTACAAACATGCTCGGTTTTAAAAACGTTTTAAACTTATAAACTTCACAGAAGGTTGTAACAAATATTTTAATCTCCGTTTATCTGCAAAAAAAATTCTGTGGACGTGTGTATACATGTTATTATAGAGATGCTTGTCAATCAATTAGTTGGGCTGGGAAATGTCACTGGGATTTGCTTCCTATTTTAATGTCAGGAAAATAAAATAAATTAAAAAGAGACTTGTTGGGTTTATATAACTCCAATTTGCCAGTTGAAACACGAAACATACACACAGTTCTCTTCAAACGGCTTGCAAATGTTGATTTTCATCATAGGTGCCCTTTAAATCACAGTTTACCTCAATCTAGAAGCCTTCTATTTTAGATTCCAGACTTAGCCTCTACCAGACTGCCATTACTTACTTGAATGCCAACTCACTTGCCATTAGTGTGTGTGTTTGTGTGTGTGTTTGTGTGTGTGTGTGTGTGTTTCCCCTCATAATAGGTCTTAACATTACATTGGACAGCATCTAAACCAGTGTCCCTCTGGCGGAGAAGACTTTGACCATGGTTTGTACCATTCACCCTAAAAATCCACACGTGCCAGCGATCAAGAAGCCATTCAAATCACGAGCACCACACACCTGAATTTGGATTTTGCGGCAACGTTTCTATGGTGAGTTATGTACCAAAACAAAGAAGGCAGAGATTCTGTACTGAATGTGACCAATGAAAAAAAACGAGCTTGAGGTTTTCCACTACTACAACCGCACTAAAGGAGGAGTCAGCAGTGTTCTGCAGATGGCCCAAAATTATACCTGCAAGCGGCGTACAAAGAGATGGTCCATGCTGATGTGGTATAACATGCTGAATATTGCATTCATTAACTCTTACACCGTTTTTATTGCTCAGCACCCCGGTTTCATGGGTGGTGGGCCTAACATACAGCGCTTGTTCACTAAAGAGCTGGTGATACAGCTTGTAGTGCCTTTATTAGTTGGATGCAGAGACGAAAGCCATGGATTGTCTAAGAACATCTTTGAGGCCATGGAGAGATACGGAGTCCACACACCAGTGACCGTTTTCAATCCAGGAACAGAGCGGGCAGAAAAATATAAGGAAGAGGTGTTGTTACTGTTTAGACAGAAAAGTGAGCAGTACATTAAGTTTCTGCACGTTCTTCTTTTTCTATTTGACTAATGACTACTGCTGATCATTTTATTTTCTGACATTTTTTTAAGTAACATAAAAAAATTCTGTGTGTATAGTAAATAGATTTTTGAACTTTCTACTTTAAGAAATACATGATAACCTACTAAATGAGCTTAAATGTGTGCAATTCATGAATGGTTTGGATCACTGATCGGTTGGTCACTCTTTAGAGAAGATACTCTGTAGATTAGTTTGCGCTTCAAAAAATGAAAGTAATCAAGTTGCACTGTGCTAACATTTATGGAAAAGAGTACAGTGACCCAGGTAGCACAGAATTCTGGCCCAGATTTGGCAAAAAGCTGGCACAGCGGGCATTCTTCCAGCACTGGCATACAGCATGTGGGCCAAACATGGCCTGGGTTTGGCAGAGGGGGGTCCATCTTTAAGGCAGCACACAAGATTTTGGCCAGATTTAAAAGTGTAGTAAAAATGTATTTGTGGGTCATGCAAGTTTGGCCTGTCGTGACCCACATTTAAAATTATTTTTGAGTAAAGAAAAAAAAAATCTACCAATCAGTTCGTTTTGAGAAAAAGCATTTCCATATTGTGCCTAAAGCGCAATGCTTCATGGGTTTATCAGTTTCATTGCAATTGTGACAAACCAACCTATCTGGCCCAGTTATTAGTTTTTAACTTGGCTGAGACTTCACCCAGATATGGTCCATGTTTGCCCCTTGTCTGGAAGCCAAACTTTGTCCGGTCATGTACTGTAACTCACTGCGGCATGCAGGTCAAGCAAAACCTGATTGTCTGGGCCAGAAAAAATTTGCTGTGTGTGTACTGTACTAAATATTTGGTAATATTTATAAAACGTACTGAATCTAAAATTGCTAAGCTATATGTCTAGCCAAATTATGTTTTGATAATCTATTATTATTTTTTATTATTATTATAAATATTAATAATATTGAAGTGTTTAGTCCTTCAGATGATAACAAATTTAAGATGACTACTAAAATATGTGAAACAGGTGCAGTGACATTAAAACTGGCCTCGCTTTTGGTCGCCTGGGATGGTTTTTAGGTTTATGAAAATAATGGCAGTGGTAAACAACTTGACAATACTTGGGCATTTTGTCGTACAGCATTCATATTATCTTCTTATTAGGTTTTTACAATGCTTCGAAAACTAATAACTTATTGTTTCTGACGTCAGATTTCCCGCTAACTGACAGTTGTAGGGTTAATCTTGTAACACAACTGTATTATTCTCATTTATATAATGTAAATGACATTGAAATTCGGTCATATTTGAGGATTAAACCATGTTCAGCATGGGCTTAAGGGATCAAATTTACGAAACATGTATACATTTTAAAGAACCGAAACCCAAGTACATATTGGGAGGTAATGTAAGCTGTTCATTTTAGATAAGTTAGTTGAATGAATGAAATGTTGTCAAATGCTTGTAGAAAAAGTCGATTAAAAATTATCAACGCCACAAGGTGGAGCCCAAGTCAGCTTGCACTGGAGGCCAAAACACAGCTCAGGTGAGTTTAAAGTAATAACTTTTTCACCCCTTCTCCAGCAAAATATAATTATGTTCCTAATAAATTTTACGCAATTACTTATGTAGTGCATGTGTTGTTTCATTTATCTTGGCTTTAATGTGATTAATTAAATTGAAAACAAATGTTCGTTGTTAAACTTTGCTATTTATTTCCTAGTGTTTTAGGGGACTTTTCCTTGGGGTCTGTTTGTGGGTCATCATCACTTAAGAATCTCACCCCCGTTGTTAAACAAACAAACCCATTTGCTAGCATCAGCCTATTGGTTTCCTTAAGGTGTTTAGTTTCACATATACCACTAAGCTCTTCCATGTGAACTGGTGTCAATTAGGTGGTTTTATATGGGAAGATTTTCTCAAGCGATTTAGTGCTTTCTTAATTATTGGATTAAAAGACTATTTGTTATCATACAACACTTTTTAATTACTGCTAAATATAGATCATGCTCTGACTGGTGATTTGAATATATTTATAAATCTCTTCTTAATGTTTTAAAACTAATTGCGTTTTTAAATGTTTTGTGATAAATCTAAATATTCCTTTCAATTTAACTCGTAGCCAATAATCAACAGGTTGCCTCTATAAACAAGCCCATATGTAAAATAAGACGTGTTGATTGGCCAGTCAAGTCAATGACGCGCACAGACGCTTTATGAATATTCAACGAGTTCCTTGCTGTTACAGTGCAAATAAAACGAGATAACGGGCCGAGGACAGCGAGCTAAAACTTTTTATTCTGACATGTCAGAGCAATGACTTTTGTGTAAATATAACCCTGGGACACGGATCCCAGCGAGGGAATAGGGTCTGTGCTGGAAGAAGAGAGAGAAGCGCTGATTTTTTTCGGGGTGTGGAAAACCGGACGGCGCATTCACAGTAGACTCCCAACAAGTTTGTCTTTTCCAAAAAAGTAACAGTGGAAGAGTAAAAGTTACAGTAACAACATGAGCTTGTTGTCTGCTATAGACACCAGTACCTCAGTGTACCAGCCTGCACAGCTTCTCAACTGGGTTTACCTTTCTTTACAAGACACGCATCAGACGAGTGCCTTCGATGCCTTCCGACCCGAGCCCAACTCTTCCCATCCGGACCTGAACTACAGCAAAACTCCTGCCAATGACCTGAGCTCCTCTCTCAACTCCAACTATCTCAACAACTTCTTTCAGCTTCAGAGGAACGAGGTAACTCGCTTTCTGTCGTTCATTTATCCTGAACATAAATTCAGGGAGATAACGGTGCCTGTCGACTGGAATAAGATTATGTAAAGCGCAGATGACTGTGCATGTCTAATAAAGCGCACACTAGTCTTGGTTACATTTATACACTGCCCAAATTCTTCGTACGACTCGCATTCTTTTAATCTCTATTATCTGGCATATAGATAAAAACACTTATATTATAAAGACTTTTATATTATTCATATTTTTATTTGTTTGTTTATTTTGCATTATGCATGAAGAATTTAGTCTCAAGGTACACTAAAACCATGCAGCTCTGCACACTCAGTTAATTGTGTTTTGTAACAGCACGTGGACAGCCGAATGAGCCAGTCATCCATGAAAGTATCTTATTTTGATCATAAGACTTCTTGTTTGTATTTCATTGGAACAAGCAGAGGCCAAAAAAGCAGAAGTGTCTATTTGGTGATCACTCACTGATCTCTATAGGCATGCAATGTAGGTTGTCAGAACTGAGCTTAGGAAAATCAAAGAAATTTTATGACATTTTATCATTTATTTTTTTTATCATGAATGAAGTTGTAAGTAAACAGTTCCAAATGGCTAAAATTGTGCCAGATTATGAGAAGAAAAGTCTGAAAATGCCATCAATAATCATTTTAAATAATGTTACATTATTTATTCTGTTTAATGTAGTAATAGTGTGTTCTAACTTGCCTATGGGGCTGCTATATATATGTTTATAAACATTATACAGAGCTCAGCATATATGAGTACACCCCATTTTGAAAATTTTTATCCATTTCTCAGTGAATATAGGTAATATAAATTGGTGCATTTGAACGAAGCAGATTTATTAAACTGATATATTTATTAAATTATATTTTAATTTATTAAATTAATTAAATAATATTTTAGTTACAGAACATCTTTAGAAATTGAAAAATAATATATTTAAATTCATGCAAAACATTGCAAAAAATTACAAACTACATTTCAACAAAATTGTTTATATTTTTTGTTCCTCTTGATTTATGCTATTATTAAAAGCTATTTAATATTTTTCTCTAACATATAAATGTGGGCTACAAATGTTTGATCCATTATTGTAAGTTATTTTGTTAGCTCCAGATTTGGCTCCAGTACTGAAAAAAAAGTAATGAATATCCACAAACATAGTATTGTAAAGCATCCTATAGAAAATATTAATTGAAATGAGAGATTTGTGAGGGGTGTATTCATATGCAACTATCACTGCAGTAAGTACAGTTGAAGTCAGAATTATTAGCCGCCCTGTTCATTTTTTTTCCCCAATTTCTGTTTAACGTAGAGACGATTTTTTTTCAGTACATTTCTAAACATAAACGTTTTAATAACTCGTTTCTAATAACTGATTTATTTTATCTTTGCCATGATGGCAGTAAATAGTATTTGACTAAATATTTTTCATGACACTTCTATACAGCTTAAAGTGACATTTTTAAGGCTTAACTAGGTTAATTTAGTTAACTAGGCAGGTTAATATAATTAGGCAAGTTATTGTATATCGATGGTTTGTTCTGTTGACTATTGAGAAAAAATATATAACTTAAAGGGGCTAATAGTTTTGACCTTAAAATGTTTTTTAAAAAATAAAAAAATGCTTTTATTCTAGCCAAAATAAAACAAATAAGAGTTTCTCCTGAAGAAAAATATTATCAGACATACTGTGAAAAATTTCTTGCTCTGTTAAACATCATTTGGGAAATATTTAAAAAAGAAAAGAAAAAAAATCAAAGGGGGCTAATAATTCTGACTTCAACTGTATATGACACTCTTTACAGAAAAAGAGCACTTGTGGGACACAAAGTCTGTTGTAGACTTCAGGTTACTTTTTAAATGGGAGAATTACTTCCAAAAGCGTTTTCCTTTTAATGATGTAATGATGGCGTTGTGGCTGAGACTGAGGTAAAGTGTTGATGTTTAGTGGAAAGTTTGAAGAAGGGCAAAACATTTATTCGTAATCAGAGTTAATAAAAACATTATGACAAGTTGTCGCCCTCCCTCTTTTCTCTTTCTCTTTTTTTCCTTCTTTTCTTTTTCTCACTTGCGAAGGGTTAGGAATGCTTTGAAAATTGCCTTATTACACACATTTTAGTTTTATCTGAGCCTTTTTTCCCCTCTCTGTGAGGCCAACAATCAATCTCTGCATGTAAACATTTAAAACTAGAAAGTTGGAACTACAAGGATTGTTTTTGTTTGCATAACTTAACAAATTGTCTACATCATAACGCTCTTCTGAGAAAGTGTTAACTAGTATTTTGTGTGTCTTTGGTGAATGGCAGTAGTACAGACTAAAGTGACCCTTTGACTGGCTCTCCAGCTGTGTGAAGGGGTGAGGGGAGATGTCCTCCATTTGTGTAAATTCGTGTATGAAGGCCATATCCCTAAGGGGAGACAGCCAAATTCCTTTCTGACAGCTACAATCACTATTGCGGTTTCATTATAGCGTGGAAATCGATAGCAATTCCGTGAATGCATTCAGACATGACTTCTGATCATTGAAATTAATTTATTTCCATAATGTTTGCAGACACATGGTTGTTAAAACATGGATGTGTAGTTTGTTAGTTAAATGTTTACAGAGAGCTCCATAAATTTCCAATCGGCTTTTCATGTATTCCATGTTGATCTTAGACTTTACTGGCTGCCAGTCGTAACTCATACAAAATAAAAACATAGCTGGATGCTTACTTTCTCATGACACATCTTTTTATAGGCCTTTTTATTCTGCACATAAATTGCTCTAAATTTTTTGTTTAAACTTCATGCAGCTGAAAATGTTATGTAAAACACACGTATAAAATATTTAGGAGGCATTTCTCACATGTAAAATGAATATCAGCTGGTTTTGACCGACCAGAATGGAAAATGAAAGATAAATGCTAAAAGATAGACCTAATTAAGCTTATTTGGAGTATCCAGAGCTGATCTAACTGATGCAAAGAGACTCGTCTGGGAGATACATGCAGGATCTGTTTATTGTTCTGGCTTGCAAAGAATTAGTCGACAGTTTTCTGGATTTGCAAAGTATAAAGTTTCAGGACTGTCCAAAATGTGTCTTCAACAATAACACAACCTTCCAAACCGTAATCAGAGGAAGACATCACTCAAACAACATCTTCCCATCCAAACTGTTGTTTCTGCTGCATGTTTCACTATCTACTGCACTGTCGGTGGTTAAATGGCAATCTGATTTGCAAATCTCTGATGTTCTTGTCACTGACTTTAGTGGATTTTGTGCCCCAATTTAGAAATGGATTCTGAATGAGAAAATTTCATTGGTTAGTTAATATGCATAATATAGTTCCACATAACTGAGGGCCTTGTTTTTTATACACTTTATCTTAATAAAAAAATTTCCATCAAGCTTTATTTTATTTAATTTAGAGCAGCATTTAATGATGTATTAATAATTGATTAATGAAACATGTCGTTTCTTTGATTCTTTTAGGTTGTTGTTCACATTGAGATCGAAAGGCATTTTTTTCCAGCCTGATCTCACAAAGAAACATAACTATATTGGCAGAAAAGTGGCTAATTTATACAAATTCGTACGATTTTATTCTTACCAAATTGTTTGATTTTTAAAAGAAGGTGTGATTCCCAAACACAACCGGCATTGTGGATGATCAAATCATACACATGTACACTACCTGACAAAAGTCTTGTCTTTGATCCCATTTGTAGGAGCAACAAATAATAAGTTGACTTCCATTTGATCATTTGGAAAAGGAAAAATCTGTTGAACTGCATTGCAATCATAACAAATACTGCAGAAGACCCATTGAAGCCCGAGATTTACACATATAACAGTCAAGTTTGGTGAAGGAAAAATTATGGTTTGGGGTTACATTCAGTATGGGGGTGTGCGAGAGATCTGCAGAGTGGAGGTATCAAGACATTTGTGCTGCCCATTACATTACAAACCTTCTTATACTTCTACCTTCACATCAAAGTTTCTGAAAGCAAAGAAGGTCAAGGTGCTCTAGGATTGGCCAGCCCAGTCACCAGACATAAACCTTATTGAGCATTTCTGGGGTAAAAATCAAGGCATGGTCACATTTTATTTTGGTAAAATAAGCGTAATCTAGAGGCCTTTGCCTTTCATATAAGCCACTTCTGATACCAAGATCAACGAGAAGTCAAGTTATTATTTGCTGTTCCTAAAACTTATCTCATGCTAAAAAGACAAGACTTTTTGTCAAGTAGAGCACAAATGAGATTGTATAAATTTATACAAATTAGCCGAAAAAAATGTTACAAATTGTAGCCGGATTGTTGAATTTTTACCAATTCACCAGTTGAATATTCAAATTTACCTTCTGTATTTGTGTACAAATATTATAACACAACTCTGTCAAACATTAACTGAACTAAATGCATCTAATTGGCCACTATGTTCATAAGCTCAAATATGTGTGATTAGACGTCTCAATACTGTAGGAATAATTCTGAGGAAACGTGCACGTCTAAACGCATTACTTTAAATTGACACTTTTCATTCATTTTCACACTTTAATCATGACATTTACTGAAGATGTAGTTTAATATCCTGAATTTGTGATGGATTTCCAATTAGTGTTGCGGGTAACGTATTACAAATAACTTGAGTTACATAATAATATTACCTTTCTAAGTAACTCATTACAGTTAAAAAATAAGTAATAATATTAGATTTTTTTTAAGAAATGTGTTGCGAGTTACTTTTTAGTTTAGTTAATTTGCTTTAAAAATATATATTGCTGAATTAAAATGAATGTAGTCACATTGAATCCTGCATGCAATGACAGAACGTAAGATGACAGATCCTTATATTTCTGCGATGGAAATATTCTCAATATTTTGAACATATAGAATAGTTAGAACAGTTAGAAAAGGAAAGGAATAGTTAGTTAGAAATAGTTAGAAAAGGAATATCTGAATGCACTTTGATTTTACTTTTTAATAAAACAAAAGGTAAAAAAGTTGCCAACACATTGCTTTAAACTTTCATTAATCTGTGTACATATACGGGATGTATAGCTCTGGAGACAGGAAATTCTCCGAAGATAACATGCTACATTTTTTATGTGTTTTGTTAAGGTAAATAAAGGTAATGCAATGTGTTGTTAATTGCTGCTCTATTTTAAAAAAGATCAAGAGATGAAAGAAATTAAGCCTCAGCCTGGTCAGAAAAAGAAGGCGTAACACATTACTTAAAAAATTACTAAAGTAATGCAACTAGTTACTTTTTTGGGTATTAACTCAATATTGAAATGCAGTATTTTATAAAGTAATTTTCCCCAACACTGTTTGCAACCTAGCATTGGGATTATTAATATATATAATTTTTGATTGTGCATGTCCGCTTATGTTTTCCAGGCTCTGAATAATGGTTTATACAAAAGCGTGTCCCCGTATGGCTCTCTTAACAACATAGTGGATGGGCTGAACTCTCTAACAGACCACTTCTCTGACCTCTCGCTTTCCTCTGAGCCGCGCAAACCCAGCAAGAGACCTCCACCAAACTACCTGTGCCATCTCTGCTTCAACAAGGGACACTATATCAAAGACTGCCCGCAGGTAAGCAGACAGCGATCTCTGTACACCTTGGGGAGATGGAAAAAGAGACGTCGCCTCATTGACCTACTTGTCAAACAGGCATCGCTCTGTCTTTTCAGTCATGTGCATCAAGTTAATTCAGAGAGCCGCCGTGCTGAGCATTGAGAGGTAATGCAAGGCCACTGAGCAGTCTTTCTTTAAAACATGAAAATCATCAGATTATTATTATTATATTTTTTTTCGCTAAGATTATTTGGCCTCTGATGGTGACATCAGATGGTAATAACAAAGCAATAACATCAAGGATATCACACATAAAATGTTTTGAGCAGGAAATGAAGCACAAAGTCATTTTCAGAAATAGTCTCTGAGCCACATGTGTTTTGCAGCTGATATTAGCCATTGGAAAAACTTCATCAAGCAGTGGTTTTGTGTAGATACATGGCGATATGTTTACTAGGCAACTGGTTTAAAACAAATGTTCAAGTTAATGCGTTATCAATAGACTCAGTGAAACCAAAAATACTGCAAAAGTCAGAGATGCCGGAGTGAGAATGTTTTGCCCTCGAGATAAGAGTGACAATTTTATGATTTCAATTTGTTTATGTGATTAAATTCCCAATACTACTAGGAAAACCATCGGAAATCATGAGAAACCACTCCCTGACCTTTAATTGCCTTGTTTCGACTATTGCAACAACATTCTTGGAATGATGTTTACCCTCAGGACAAGGAGAACAAATGCAAGCTCCATGCTTTAAAAACTATTTGAGTTTCACTTTTTAAAAACACTGTTAAAAATATTTTAAGCCAGTACAACAACAGCAAAAAAGCACAATCCTTATTTCTTTTTCTTGTTCACTCAACTTTTGAAAACATCAGCTGCACTGGCCTACGATTATTTGTCATTAATGCAAAAACATTTAGTTGAGTTAACTTAAGATTATTAGTTTTCTGGAGAGTTGAACTACTCTGTAACAAAACTTTTAAGTTGTGCCAACTGAACATCTTTTTTCTGTAGGACTGGAATGCCTGAGTGATCAAAAAAAAAAAAAAACAATCATTATTTCCTTTTGTTTTTTCTTGTGTACTTTACTTTACATTTCTTTTTAACTTAATGAAGAAAATTTAGATTTAGGTTAAGTAATTGTGTTAAATGTACAGACATTTGTAGAGATTTTTGCCAAACCAAAAAAACAAACAAACAAACAAACAAAAGAACAAACAAGTAATTACATTTTTTTCAAATTGAATTTTTTTACAGTGCACGAATGGTTTATTCTAATTAGACCATTGTTCTAAAACATTTCACAAAAACTGCAATTGTTTTTGCCTTGTCTTCGCTTACTTCATCCCATCGTTGAGTTCATGAAAAAAAAAATGTGTCGAACATTCCAGAAACAAAGATAAAATACAAGTGTTTGTGAAGGAGACAGTGTCATCTTTAATTTCAAGCTGTTAGTGTTTTATAGTCTTTGGACTGAGAGACAGGGTGAGGTTCTTGTTCAGGCCCAGACTCAAGTCAGAGCTGCATGGAATGGTAATGTAGACCAGATGTGGGATTAAAGTGGCAAACCTCCCTTTATGAAAGATGATGAGGGTTCCCTGCAGACTGCTAAAAGTCCTATCATGATAAAATATCTCCACCTCCACCTTTGTGCATGGCTCAGGTAATTTACAGAATTTTCCTTTGACACTGTGCACTGAAATACACTGATGTTTGTTTTTACAAGGGTGTTTGCTCTCCCTGATGGGTGATGGAAAATATTACTCAGTGCCATTAGGCTTATAACAGATTCAACTGTAGTTTTATCAGTGCTATGATGTAATTGTGGATTCATTTCGAAAACATAGCACTCATCATCACATTATGTTGACTGCGATATTGTTATTGGCATTAGGTAACTATTCACTAAAGCTTTTTATGTTAAAAACATTTCTCAAAAAAAAAGAACTATGCAAATATACTGTATAATGCATTTAATACATGACATACGTTTCATTTTTATATTGTGTTAAATATAGTAATGTTAAAAAGATGTTGATTACAAAGATGTTGTTTGCGAAATTAGATAATTAGTTTTATATAATTACTGTGCTGAAGCCAAGGCAAATTATTGAAATAACATCTGGACGAAGTTGATTTAATATTGTGTCACTTTTTTTCTATCCGCGTTTAGAGTAATGCTATATATGTATGTATGTATGTTATATATATATGTATGTATATATATATATATATATGTGTGTGTGTGTATATATGTATATATGTATATGTATATGTGTGTGTGTGTGTGTGTGTGTGTGTGTGTGTGTGTGTGTATGTATATATATATATATATATATATATATATAGTTTAGTATATATATAGTTTAGTTCAGTTCAGTGTGGTTACATTTCACTTCTGGGAGTCCAAACACTGAAGAGCAAATCCATCGATGTGCAGTTCCATAAGTCCCAAACCAAGTAAGCCAGTAGGGACAGTGGCTTGGAATAAAACTTCACCAATTGACTAAAGTGCAGGAAAAAAAAAAATACCCTGAGAGAAACTAGTCTCAGTTGAGCATGACCATTTGTCCTCTGGCCAAACCTATTTATGCATAATCATAAGTAACTCATTAAGTCTAACCAACATTATAACACTAACATCAAGTACATGTAATTAATTAGTAATATTCACTAATTAAATGGAGAGTTACTCAGTAACAAGCACAGTTTAAATAGATAGTTTACCCACAAACTAAAATGTACTCACAAATCTCAAGTGCGTGTAAGTTGCTTCCTTGTCCTCATTTGTAAGTTGCTTTGGATAAAAGTGTCTGCTAAATGACTAAATGTAAATGTAAATCTTTATGAGTTTCCTTTTTTTTTTTTTTTTTTTTTTTTTACAAAAGAAGATATTCTGAACAAAGCTGAAAACCTGTGAACATTGACTACCATAGAAGAAAAAAAAAAACCTATGGGGTGGCACTGTGGCTCAGTGGTTAGCACTGTCACCTCTCAGCAAGAAGGTCACTGGTTTGAGTTCCGGCTGGGCCAAGTGGCATTTCTTAGTGGAGTTTGCATGTTCTCTCCATGTTGGCGTGGGTTTTCTCCAAATTCCCTCAAAGTCCAAAGATATGTGCTATATATGAATTGAATAAACCAAATCAGCCATGGTGAATGCATGCATTTGTGAATGCGAGAGTGTATGGGAGTTTCCCAGTACTGGGTTGCGGCTGGAAAAAAACCTAAAACATATGCCGGAATAGTTGTGACGTCTGATAAATGAATGACTAAGCCGAATGAAAATGAATAAATAAATGAAAAAAATCATGGAAGTCAATGCTTACAGGTTTTCAGCATTTCTTAAACTATCTTCTTTTGTGTTAAAAAGAAAGAAACTTTTGTGACAAGTGAAGTTTGAGTAAATAATGTTAGAATGTTTTAGAAAGTTTTGGATACTAATTTAAAATAAAGTGTAAACTCTTTTCTTCTTAAACTTTCAATGAGCCCAGTTTGATGTTCTTAACAGTTCCTGTTTTTGGAAGCAATCTACATAATGGGTGTCATTTTGGAGCTGTTAAAATTTGGTAATAGGATGCATTTTAGGATGCTTTTTTTATATTTAAAAAATGAAAAAAGACCTCTGCCTAATGACTATATTCATAAACATTATGAAAGCACACTGGCCAGAGGTACTTTAAACATGCCTTGTGACTTTGGAGGTGACAAATGTTCAAAACACAATGCTCACTGCTTTAAATTTTATGTCTTTTTATTTTTAAGATTAAAACAGTTTTACCAAAAAGGAGCACATGACAGGTGTAAACAGGTCTTAGTTGTCATCTCCCTCATGCTAAATATCATAGAAAAACAAATACTCAAAGAGCAAATGCTCAGTTTTATTAGGGACAAAACACCACAGGCTGTAATACTAGCATGAGACCAGTCAGTAAATCACTGTCAGAAATGTCCTGTTTTAAATTTCAGTTGTTCTTGCCAGTGGAAACACAAGAAAAGTTCAATCCCTTGATAGTGTCCACACCTACTCAGTTCAACACTGCTTCAATTTACCTCCCCCCGGGGTCTCACTTTTTTGTGATTTACTTTCCATTTGTCATATGGCGCATCCGCACATCGTGTCTGAATATTCAGTGATTCGCCCACGATTCCTGCCAGAAAAGACAGTTGAAAAATGATAAACGTGCTGAGTCTGATCTTGTCTCAGAGGAAATGAATTCCAGGGTAAGCTGGTCCTCACTAAGGGTTTGTCCCGTCCAGAGCACCACAAACTCCCTGCCAACACAAACACAGAGGATTTGACTTCACAGGGCACAGCGGGACCTGTGATCTAAAGCCAGCGCTCAGACTCACATTCTCATGCATTCTCCCAGCGCACCGTCTACGTCTCCTTTCCCTTCCCAGCAGACCAGATGCAAGTGGGCCAAGCTAACCAGTGAGGGCAGGGGCAGAGTTTCAAATGCAGCCATCATAGGGACTGGTAAGGAATTGAGGAATGTCAGGATTTGGTTGAAAGCAGAGCATAGAGGCAGGAAGTGTGTTGGTTATGTATTTGGTGTGTGTGGTTCAGACTCATTTGTGTCACCTAGAGGAAGTGGTTCGGCCCTAGCCGAGCTCCACTGGGAGCGCTATTTAGAAATGAACAGCATTGAGTGGGACAGCTGTTTGAGGAGCTCTGCTCTGCTAGTGAGAGTTATGTAAACAAGCTCCACTAAACCGGGGAACAGTTTTGCCCTGTCATTCATTACCCAGAATTCCAGAGACCTCAAAATGCTGCGACTCAGCTCTACATGTTAAAACATTTCCGGTGTTTTTGTCATTTATTAGAATCAAATAAAGTAAAAACTGTTTTCTTTTTAACTGTTGGCCTAATTAAAATATGATTTCAGCTTGTGATTGCCAAAGCAATGTCTTTTTAGCATCATTACTTCATGATCTTTCAGAAAATATTCTGATATGACTATTTGCTGCTGTTTATTTGTTGCTTTCATTAATTTTTGGTTCCCTAATGGTTATT